TCTTAGCTGTAGAGGGCAGTGTCACTGGCTCTCATATGTGGGATCCGAACCGGGTCCCTCTGGTGTCCCAAGCCAGTTCTTAACCATCGCGCCACCTGGCCGGCCCTGGGACAGTTACATTTTTCTTTTTACAATTGCTTTTATTTTGTGCTTTCTATTTGTCCTGGCTGTTCTATATTTCTTTTTCCTCCTTCTTTAAAATTTTTAAAATATTGACTTAATATTTTTTAGCGTTCCATTTTTCTGACATAATTTGGAAATTCTGTACTTTTTTTCCTCTTTATAATTATCCTAGAAATATCATGTCTCTTTGACGCTTTAAAATCTAAAAATAGCCAGTATCTTTATCTTTCTATTAGACAGTACCAGAACCTTAGAAGTTTTAACTTCATTTAGCCTCTTTCTTCATCACTTATATGTTAACTATCATATATTTAAAATTTTAAAAACGTTCTTACCAGACAGGATACCTGTTTAGAATTATTGTTGTGTTTTACAGTCAGTGCTTATGTACATTTCCCACATTTTTACTACTTTTTCATTGCTTTTATCTTTTAGACCATCCATCTGGGGCCTTTTTCCTTCCACTTAAAGTATGTCCTTTGGAATAGCTTTTATTAAAGGTCTTTTGAGAATGAACTCTCAATTTTCGTTTACCTGAAAATGTCTTTGTTTCACTGTCACTTATGGAAGATGTTTTTGCTGAATACAGCAGTTTAGTTTGGCAGTTGTTTTTGGTACATTGAAGATCTTATTCATCTATCTTTTGGTTTCCATGATTGCTGTTGAGAAGTCAGCTGTCAGTCTCTCAATATCTTTTTCTCTGGCTGCTTTGAAATTTTTCTCTTTGTCTTTAGTTTTCTGCTGTTTCACTGTAATGCATCTTTATGTTGCTTTAGATTATTTGTCTTCTAAAATCTGTAAGTTGGAGATGTTTTGAAATGTATTTATTGGCTATTTGTAATTCCTGAACTGTGAATTTCCATTTTTATATTCTATTGCTATATCTATCTTAATGTATAAATAAATCTTTGATAAACTACGTAGTATATCTTTTTCTCTTGGTCTTTTGCATTTCACTTTGTTTCCCCATGGCTTCCCCAACAGGATGCATTGCCAAAC